TTAACAAATTACTTACAGTCTCCAAATAATTAAAAAGCCTTCTTCAGTTAACCTATAAATGCTGTGAAAATAACAAAATTAACGTGGTGCGGCGGTAACCCGATGAATTTCAACTAAGTCGACATCTCGCCGAATCGATAACTGTCAAGCGCTAATTAATTAAATCACGAACACAGACAGGGCCGCATTAGGTCGGTTGAGGGGTGCAACTGATATTTATTTACTATTGGATTTTGTATTGTCGTTTCATAGCTTTCGTGGGACATATTAAATTGATTATTTTGTTTAATGGCTTTCTCACGTAACTTTTTGAGAAGAAACTTGCTAATTAGTTGCGCGACGTTCACCACGTCGTGCGTCAATTATGAGAAATGCCGCTTATGATCATAAGCCTCAATTTAAAAAATAATAATCAAGTTGACCTTCAAATATTTGCGTGAAATTCAACATGATATTGGATATATTTTTAAAGTAAAATATTGTCATTCTCTTTTCTATAATAGTGAATCAAAGAATGCATGATTGGCACTGTCGATGGACAACCGGTTGCCATGCAAAAATGTGAATTATTTATTACTTTGCAAATAAAAATAATGTTTATTAGTTATTTGGTAAGTAATAATCAATTATAAACTATGCCATTTTTCTTAAATCGTTGATCGTACCATTTAAATAAAATCTTTCTTTGATATTAATCCGAAATATTGTATGTTGTTCTTTTGATTTATATCAACGAATTATTACAGAATTGGTTTAGTTTTAAACAAATTCTATAATAATTATTTAAAACACTTATTTAAGTTGGACAAACGGCATAACATTAAATTCTGTTTATTTGGAATCCGAGTGCAACTATAGCATACTTACCAAAATATACTTAGAAATGAAGCTAAAAATCGACAACAAAAAAAACAGTTCTAACTTCCATTGAATACGTTGCACCCCACACCAACCCTAATACGTCCCTGTGGCGTGCAGTACTCATTCAGCGATCGTGCGACTGGTTGCCAAACAATCGGTTAATTAATACTATTGTGTTCCGTAAGCGACTGGCTTTCAGTTTAGTTGTATGATAAAACGACACCTTACTCAAGCCTTACGGAATATTACTGGACGAAAACGAGGTTAGATTCTGAATAACAGCACTTAAGTGCTTCAAGTTATTGGGACAAATTAATAAGCTCCGTTTAACTTGTAGGGTGGGGTGAATGACCGCCATATTTTACTGGGTAGAATTTTAGTCTTGTTCCATCTTCCAACTTTTGGGGTCAACTGTTGTGTTCTTATACTTTTTTTGAGCCTGTTTCATAAATTTGAATATAGAACGTTAATACGGTAGTTTCCAACTGGTCAAAGTCATTTCCTCTCTTATCTCTCATTCTCCCTCTTGTAATATAATTATCATAAATTCGATTTTATATCACAGAAAATGTATTGATTCGCCATCCATATCTTTTTTTTTTTTGTTTACGTTACGTTATTCTAAAAGTCACGCTACAATGTGTTTCTAAGTTCAAACATTGCCTTATTAAACCCAAACATTTTCGAACTAAAACATAACACCACATGAATTTTATTCTAACAACAAAAAGCAGCTTTCTTTCGTTGCATTAGTTCCACCCAAAAAACTAAAATAAAACATCGACGGGACGAAATATCTCATTACTTCGATTGCAAGCTTGTCCAAACTGCATTTTTGGGTTCTAGAGAGCGCTATAGCCATCCTTTTCTAACTTACGTGTTAGATAGAGAGGGAAGGAGTTTGACCTATGGGGCTATGCGCCTGCGACGGATTTCGTGGCTGTTGCATTGCAGTACACTTCTTTTTGTTCGATTTATGAAACTGTAGCAATATTCTTTAATATTTGGGAGCGAAGCCCTTGTTTTATGTGGTTCGTGACTTCTGATAACGGGTCTGAACGTGAAGCGATTAAATACTGTGTTTAACTTGCACTCCAACTCTCTTGAAGATGATCAAATTATTATGTTGTTTAAATATAAGAATTATTTTCACTGATTCAAAAAGATTACGAAAGCGGGACATTTTAGTTAAGTATTGATTTAGTATATCAGTTGAGATCTTTAACCTTGTATCGGTCCTGCTTTTATTTATCTCTATATAAGATGTATCCTGGATCCTCGCCGTGAATACCTATATATGTATGAAATCAACCGATTTAGGTCAAACTGTCTCTCGTTACGCGCTATGGATAAATTACTTAAAACATATTATGATTATTAAACATGATAATAAGATTCAAAAAAGTATTAGCCAACTAAATTGTCAATGGGCAAGTCGATAACCGATGACTATTGAGGCATCATGTCTAGCGAAAACGTAGAGTAGTTGCGCCCTGTAGCTAAGTTAAAGACAATACGTCCGAACGGTGGCTGTAATTTATGTAAGCGCTATAATTTACCGCAGCACTAGCCCAGAATAGGAGAAGGAAAAGGGTGGTTTAAATTCAGTAAGAGTCAAACAGATCTTCTCGAGGTGAGATAAGCCCGTTGATGATTCCCCTCCTCCTTACAATAATAACTAGCAGTAGTTAAATGCGTTTAGTTAAAGATCGAGGTCAGTGGCTTATAATTGAGTGTTAGAGAGGCTTATGTCCAAGTGAATAGGGCACAAATGGAAATCGTTGGAGGAAGCCTTCACCCGAGAAGGGGTTCTGGAAAACCAACCAGATACTGAACAAAACTTTTAGAACTTCAAATGCATTTAAACTCATTCAAACAAAAAGCAATATTGGTTGAGTTAAGTAAAAAAATATGTTATCGAAGTTTTTTCCATGAAATATAATATTTTATTTTTTTTATTTCTTTTTATTTATTTATGTCTAAGTTAATGGAAATAGGCTGATGAAACAATTAAAATAGTTTTTACACTATGTTTTTGCTACCAATTTTAATTACATATACGAATTCTACAATCCCGAGAGCAATCAGGAAAACCGACACACAAATGTATAAAAATACATTTGTGAAACCACATAATCCCATAGAACCGCCACAAAAATCCCATGACCATTTAACGCTATTCAAATCATAATATTATAATGCCAAAAGAATAGCCAGCAAACACAGGAAAGGGTTCTCTGCTAAATCATTGAGACGTGTGATCCCTCCCAGTAGGGAGGTAAATCCTCTGACCTCACCAGACGTCATGAGAGGGTTTACCGTGCAAATACTGCTCAGAGGTAATACTCCTGAGGGTTTACTGGTCATGTTGACTGAAAATGAAGGATTAACTTCAAACTCGTGAGTTCTTGATTTTAATTTCGTTAGTTTATTTGTTTAAGTAAATTATTATACTTAAGGCTGATTTTTCAATGGTTAGATAAAAGTTACTTGGGGAATGATTATGATGCTGTCGCGTCAGAATGTTTGTATAAGACAGTGACAGCAACAATTTTATTTCTCAGATCACATTTATCTGACTATTGAAAAATCAGCCCTTATTAAGTAAGTATATATAGGTATACTAAAATTATTATTATATTACTATTAAAAAAATAAACTCTCTTTTTATGTTACAAATGCTTCATGTGATCGATCGCAAAAGTAAATGTCGTTTTGGAGGTCTAAGCTTTAATTCCCATTTTGGGATCCACACTTTTCCATCATAGAAAATATTTATCGAACTTTAGAAAGAAAGAAAGAAAAACATTTATTTGAGACTCGCACAGAAAATAAATACAATTACATTTTATATATACAAAAAGAAAAAATAAACAAAACAACAACAAAAAAATATTAAAAATAAAATAAAAGACATGTGAAAGGTCAAAAAGGCCACTATCTCAGCATATGCTGCGATAATTCACCAGTAGGTAAAAATACCGCAGCACTGGTATTCTGATATGCACAATTGTCACACGATTAGCAGTCCTAAAACCGAATGAATTTTCTACCACTATATCTTAGGATGATACAGAGACAGTTCATGTAGGTGCGGCACTAAAAGAGCAAGAGGTTATCAACAATTTCTTTTAATATTATCATAAATGTTTGATTTGTATTTATGTGCAGAAATATTAAAAGTATTTGTATAGATAACATAATGAACGTATTGAACGTTAGTATTGACTGCAAGCGCCTGCAGTGTTAACGTGAGCAAACAGTTGCGGTTGATCGATTGTATGCGGGTTTAATATAACAAACTTGTCGTTAACTTGGACCAACTTACTGCTTACCGCTATTCGCTTTAGGTAAACAAATTTGTATTGATAATTTATTTAATATAAAAAAAACCGACTTCAAAAACTAAAAAGTGTCAAATAAGTAATTAAAATTGATATTTAATAGCACTCTTACGTACGCGAAGCTAATACTTTTAATATTAATAATAAAACACTATCAATTCTATGTGCTACCTATTCATAGGTTTGAAGTCGGTGCCAAGCCTAATACATAATATAATAAGCATGATTACATGAGTACCTAAACTCGCCAGCTCGTTTGAATTTATTTTTTAGGATTTAAGAAATTTAGTACCGATTTTCTAACTTGATGGCGTTAGCGTAGAATCAGAAGTCTATATGGTTTCGTTACCGGCGAAACTGTATATAGATTAGAAAGATATTTGGATGAATTATGAATTCTGAAAGTTTTCTCGTACTTGGTTGTTAAAAGTAGTAGTAAGTAGCTGCGTTGTTAGTAGTGGAAATTTCGTCTTTTAGCAGTTAAACAGTCTTAATTCTCATTTAGTTTTATTCTGTTTAGGGCTTGGCACCGACTTCAAACCTATGAATAGGTAGCACATAGAATTGATAGTGTTTTATTATTAATATTAAAAGTATTAGCTTCGCGTACGTAAGAGTGCTATTAAATATCAATTTTAATTACTTATTTGACACTTTTTTGTTTTTGCAGTCGGTTTTTTTAAACGTAGTTTTTTTTTTATTTTTTTCTTTTTGTGTCTGTTTCAAGTTCTTCTGTAAACTACAGTAATATTTTAAATATAAATTAACATATTAATAGTATATATTTTTAGGTAGCTATGTGTAGGCCAAAGAAAGGGGCCGCCCGATAAAAAAATATAGATCCCAAGAAATGGGAAAGTTCTCATCATCACCATCATTATCATCATCATCATCAGCCATTTTAATGTTCCCACTACTGGGGCACAGGCTATCTCTCTAGGAGGGGGAAAGTTCTTAACAATATAAATAAATTAAGTCCAAACACGAGGTAGCTACTGTAAACCGTTGAGGAGTTCCCTAGACTGTCGTTCGTCTTCATCATCAGATCCCTAATGACAGTCACAATCCATCAAGGTGTAAAGTTCTCATCAAAACGAATAAATTAAGCTCAAACACAAGGAAGCTGCTATGAATTGTTGAGGAGTTCTCTCGACTGTCTCTCGTTTCCATCCGGAATTCCCTCGACGGTCAATTGTCTCCATCATCAGGTAAACTGCAGACCTTAAGTTGTTATGATACATACCTACAGGTACAAAGCTTTCATCAATATAAATGAATTAAGTTCAAACACGAAGTAGTTACTGTAAACCGTTCAGGAGTTCCCTGAGCTGTCCTTCGTTCTCATCATCAGACCCTTAATGACAGTTACGACCAAGCCTGCTGCAAAGTGCTCGCCAATACGAATCATTCAAGCCAATTACTCCAAATAGTCAAGGAGATCCCTCGACTGTCTTCCAGCTCCAACATCTGGTCGACTTTGTCCTTCGTCAAGTTGTAGTGTTGTTAAAGGCCTACTTAAACATCATACATAAAAAAATTATTATTAAAAAAACAAAAGACCCGACTGCACACTAAAAAAAGAGTAAAACAAGCCCCACAATACAAATTTACTGAATATAATTTATAAATGTTGATGGAAAGCATCGCAGGCGGGGACCAACAGAGGCTTACTTATAGTCATTTCTGTTGTGCACCATTTAGCAGAATTTTCGTTGGTGGCGGTCAAGGTGGTCCCCGCCTGCGATGCTTTCCATCAACATTTATAAATTATATTCAGTAAATTTGTATTGTGGGGCTTGTTTTACTCTTTTTTTAGTGTGCAGTCGGGTCTTTTGTTTTTTTAATAATAATTTTTTTATTTATAACTTTTTAGCTGTTTTTATTTAACGAAAATGTTGTTTTTTAAAGGGAAATTTAGAAAAAATATTATTATGTCTTTATCCCGTGGGACTTTTAGGATAAAATGTATCCTATGACACTCCCGTAATCAAGACAAATCTAACGATACCTCATACATCAAAATCCATCAAGCCGTTTAGGCTCCAGGAGGTCACAAAGGAAAAGACATACATACATACTTACATACACTCGAAAAACATTACCCTCCTTCTTTGGCAGTCGGGTAAAAAAACCTACTCGCCCCTACAATTTTCGAAAGTTCCCCTCGGTTTCTCCAGGATTCCACCATCAGATCCTGACCTCATGACAATGGGACCAAATGGCAAGTATACCCTATCGAATAAAAAAAGAATTTTGCAAATCGGTCCAGGCGTCTTCGAGTAATCGGTGTACATACATAAAAAAAAAATACGCGTCGAATTGAGAACCTCCTCCTTTTTTGAAGTCGGTTAAAAATAGTATAGCCTTGATACTTTTAATACAAACATACTCGTCTTTTCATTTACATTAAGGTAGGTATGTACCTAATATGTGACTTTTTCGGAGTATATGCGCTTTCTATGATTATTAAGACAAACGGTGAAGGAAAACACTGTGAGAGAAAGGTGGACTTATAATTCCACCTAGAGCAAGTGTGGTGATAATTGCTCAAACCTTCTCCGTGTGAGAAGATGCCTTTGCTCAGTAGAGGGCACTTACTGGCTGATAATGTGATTAACGTACATGAGGATGTTTGCGTTAAGTTTAGCTATAAATGGGTTACAATATAAAATAAAAACTGGTACTTAATTAAACAACTAGCAAAAACATTTTTATTGAAAAGAAGTTAAATCTCGCTTATTTCTTGTTTTATTTTCTAAATTATTCAATCTTTACGAAAACTGCTTTCAGCTATAGCTAGTCGCACAAAATTATTTAGGTAAGATATCATTGAGATAAATATAACCGATAAGTATCGTACTATTATAAATTACACCTACCTATATCTCAGCCCAATAGGTACTTCCGGTAGTTATGTCTATTTATACGACATCAAAAATAAAACAGATAGCCTATCAATAACACCTACACCTTACTATTTAAGCTTCACATTGTACACCGTAATAAATTATATTGACTTACTTCTATTATCTTACTAACGCCTGTACGAAATATCGTTCTAAATTTATGTTAAAGCAACACATTGCTATTACAATTACTGCAGGCGCTTTAACAAGAACCAGACTAATTTGATAATTTAATCATAAGACATTTATTTGGTTTCTCTGGCTTAGAAATATGAATAGCAATTATGTAACTGAGAAATTATGTTAGTGTTTCAGATTGGGTTAGGTCTCACAGCAGTCTAGTTTATCTAGAATTGCTAAATTACTGGCGGGTTGCTGTTATTGTGGGAATATCTGACGTTTTTAGCTTCTATTATACAGAGGGTGTTTTTGTATAATTAACTAAGATTTCTAAGGATGAGTGACTAAAAAGTAACTACGTACCTACCATGAGGTTTTGTGTTGAAGTCCAGAGATAGAGAGAGAGATAGAGAGAGATAGATAGATAGAAAGAGAGAGAAAGAGAGAGAGTGGGGGGTGTTAGAAAACCAGCAGCTTTTTATGTGATAGGTCGACAAACTACCATACGAGTTACCTGGTCGTAAGCAATTGGCCGTCGTCTGTGGATACCCGCCTCACTTAAGGAGTTACGAGTGCTTTGCAGGCCTTTTGGGGATTAGTGTTACGGAAAATAAACAATTGAGGAGGGATTGTTTGAGGGGAAGAGAGATTAGGCCTCACACGGCGAAACACAACGCCGTAATTAGCAAACTTTTAGTTTTCTTGATTAGAACCTTGAGTTATTTGATACTAGGTTTTACCCGCGACTTTGTTCGCGTGAAATAGTGACTTCCTGTGAATTTTTGGTTTAAAAACTATCTTATGTCCTTTCTCGAATTCCAAACTATGTCTGTACCAAATTTCACACAAATAGGTTCAGTAGTTTAGACGTGAAGAAAAGACAGACAGACAGAGTTACTTCCGCATTTATAATATTAATTTGGATTAATAAAATTGAACGAGTATGCATCACATTTTCTAATATCAAAGCCTCTTTATGCGGTCAAATCCAAATAACCGAGTAACGGAGGCAGGTACGTGGTCCGGAGCTTAATATTCAGCATTGCGGTTAAACTAATATTGCAATATTCTGATTTAATAATTTTCAATTATCTTTTGAAGGATTAATGTAATGTAACAAAATTGTGTAAAGTTCCTAGAAAGAAAATTTCGCATCTCCTTTTTATCGGTTAGGTGATAAGTCTTATATGTATACTATCGTATATGTTTATATAATAATTTATAACGCGAACTGGACAAGTATAAGCTTATGCTTAGTAATTTTAAGCTTCGTTCTACAACTGTGTTCACAAATATAGTTAGGTTAGTCCACATAATATACAGTGGGAAAACTATGCTTCCACACAAATGGGTCGGCTCGACCGGAGTGATACCACGACCTCACAGAAAACCGGCGTGAAACAACCACAGCGTTGTTTCGCCGCGTGAGAGAGGTTACCAGAGGTCCAATCGTTGCCCTCCCCCTATCCCAAAATCTCCAAATCCCTAATCCCCAAAATTTCTGCAACGCAGTCGTAGCTCCTACGTAGGTAATCCGTGTAATAGTTTGCCGACTTACTACAAAAAAAGACAAAAATGCTAACGTGATACGAGAGTAAAACCTAAAACCTACAAGGATTAAGTTAACATGTCGTTTAAAATAAAATTTCAGCTCTATACTACTCGTATCATAATCAAAAGTTTTACGAAAATTTTTCAAAAACTAACAAATGCATGTCTAGTCTTAGTCTAGAATAGCAAGTTTAACGAGAAATTCAAGGAAAACGGAGAACAATGGTTAGAAATGGTCTCGCGAACAGATTGTGTGGAGCTCGACCCGTGGCCATTGTGCGAACTAGACAAGATCTGAATGAACAACCCTACGGGAAATTACATTAAGTTCCACTAGATGAAAGAAACTACGTGCTACTTACATGTTTCTTTCTTATATTTTTATGTTGATTGTTTACTTGGCAAAATGCAAATAATGAGTAAATACTTAGATGGCCCTATTCTTCAATCCGCTCTCCAGGGATCCCTAAATCCCTTAACTCCAAAACGCCGGTAACGCAATTTTACTACTCGATTTTGCTAGTATTTCCGATTGCTTTTCACCAGATGATACGCCTGCTTGTTTGCTGACGAAAAATTAACACGTTGATACCTGGCTTGAAACACGTCATGGTGGTCCGCAGAAAAAGGCGCCTGCTTCTCATGCATGAGGGCGCAAGTTCGAAACCTGGCAAGTACCAATGTGACTTTTTCCGAGTTATATATACTTTTCTATGATTATTTTGACACCACTGAGATACGATGATACGGTGCCGTGGTGGCCCGTAGGTTAAGGAACCCGCTTCTCATGCATGAGGGTGAGGATTCGAAACCTGGCAAGTACCAATGTGACCTTTTCCTAGTTATATGTACTTTCTAAAATTATTTAGACTCCACTGACCTACGGTGAACGAAAACATCTTGTTGAAACCTAGACTTATAATTTATAATTATAAGTTTGTAATCACCAACCCGGCTTGAGCAAGCGTGGTGATTTATGCTCAAATCTTCTCCATGCTCCGTACTTATTGGCTGGTGATGATGATGGTGACAATAACCTGGCCTGTCTCGTAGCTGGGCCCAACTTATAAGGCTTTTTATGAAGTTATAATGCCTTCTTGTGTAGTCACAAAACATCTGACTGATTTGATTCAAGGTCAAACATTGTTTCAAATAAGATCTAACAGTACAAATCAACTACTCCCGAAAAAGGAGAAACTGGAATACCAATTTTCAAAATTTAATATTGTATCAGAATAACGGGCTGAAAAGCACCCTAAATCCAATTACGTTATTGGCAGAAAATATTGAATGTAATCTTTGTTTAAAATTGTCCGCCGTCCGCTCCGACAGCGGTCGAGGTCTGCAAATATTGGTGAAGTCGCGGACCCGCTCGGTCAACCGATGCAATTGATTTTTCGTTACTCTATCTTTTAGTTATCGAGGCATGTTGGGAATTGGCGAACAATGCAATCAGTAGCCGCAGTTTGGATGCCATCCGAATTATTAATAGGTTTAGTTTTTTAGTGTATTCCTTTGAATAGCTCTTAATCATTCATTTGGCAAAAGCATGTAGGTTTTTACTATTTTCTTTTCCTCGTATTCCTTTCATTCCACACTTCTTAGATTATCCGTTTTACTTAAGGTTTAATATCGAACAAGGAAGGAATTAAAACGACATGTTTAGTACCAGTCTACAAGAGATGTCTTTCGTGGAAATTCTTCTAAAATCTTAGTAACTATTATCTACATTAAAAATACTCCACCTCAGATTATATAAATTAAATTATATACATATATGGTAAAATGAAGAGAAGTTTTACACCATTAAGGAATTTCTTGAACATAAATAATATAGAACCTATGTAATAAGTTTAAAAAGTTTATTAATATTAATATTTGTTAAGCTAAACATGATGATCTATTGTAACTTTGAGACCTTTTGTGTATACCATGTTTTACTCAAATAAAATGTAAATATTTAACTTTATCTTACCTGTTGGTGGTTATTGTCCTGCTTCTCGCTGCTCTCTGAAGTTGTGGAGCCTGTGTGCTTCTTACAGAAGGTGGGGCAGTAGCGACGACAGAGACATCTGTGGAGGAGGGGGACCAGAATTAATTGTTAGAAGTACGCTACATCTAGTATATGTAGCTTATACAAGGACGACTTATGATACAATACAAATAAATATTGTTCCCTCGTGAAACGATTGATCATGTTCTGTTGAAGCGCACGGTAAATTTAGCTTTTTTATAGTTTTTCTTTTATTTCGTTTCTTTGTTTCGTATGTTCAGAAGCTAATTGTTTTGTGCTACAAACCACCTTAAAGCTAAAAGTACAACGTTTGTGTGTAACTAAAGTGTTAGAATTGTGATAACATAATTTAGACTAATATTATAAAGAGGTAAAAATTGTAAGTTTGTATGTGGGGTTAAACTTTGGAACCGCTGGTTGGATTGCCAAAATTGTTTCACTTATAGATAGCTACCAGTAATGTTCCTGAGTGCTATAGGTTATAAAACATCACCCTACGATCAAATGGCGCTGAGCAGCGGGTGTAACTGCGCGAGTATAATAAACTAACGAAACTATAAATAAGTATCGGCCTATTCATTTAAAAATTAACTAATACTATCATGAGACATACTCTCATATTATTCACACGCACATTTTTCATGAATAAGATCCCCATTATGTCTTAAAACTTGTAAAACTTTTCAATGGTACGCAATTGACGGCGCCCATGAACACACGTAATACCAGGGGAGTTATGAGTGCGTTGCCAACCTTTTTGGGATTGGGGAGGGATAGAGAGGGGGAGGAATTGGGCTTCGGGTAACCTCACTCACGCGATGCAACAACACTTTGGTTGTTTCATGTCGTTTTTCCGTGAGGCCGTGACATCACTCCGTTCGAGCCGACCCATTCCACTCGAAGCTTAGCTCTCACACACCTAATTTTCTTATTTAATTCACATGAATAAGTCGTTATTTTTAACAAATTTAACGTTACTAAAATAGTAACTGAGACACAATACAGAACCTCATATTAGTCTAGGTCACGAACATACGACTAACTTATACAACCACGTCTATTGCCCGACAAATACCTAAACGGCACACAAAGACTAAGTGGGCATACTGTATCCTGCCTACCAAGTCCTTTGTGTCCATCGTAGAGTAAATGATCAAGAACATAATATCATCAACAACATCCCGTCGATAAAAGCAAAGGCTACAAGGTTGCCGTCCAAATTATTATAAAAGGTGGGTAGTTGGTTTATTTTGCCCTTGACGTTGTTGAGGTTAAGTGACGTCAAGCTGGTACAAATAGATTTTTGATTTTATATTATAATGCTATTGTTTTCAGTGTATTAGTGTATTAGTCTGGGGTTGTTTGAATGCTATGTTGTTGGATATTGTAAAAGGTGCCGTACGGTAGTATTTCAAGATCTGATTTATTAAATTTAACAATTACGCTTATGTCAAATGATATTCGATGACCTGTTAAAAGCTTATATTGTTTTTTTTTTAGAAAGCAACCTTTTTTTATTTTTTTCGAAGTGAACGGACGGCAAGCGAGCACACGGGTTACCTGATGGTAAGCAATCAGCGCAGCCCATGGACACCAGCAACAACGCAGCAGTTTTAAGTGCGTTGCTGATCTTTTGATTGATTGAGGAGGGATTGGGGGATAGGATTGGGGGACAGGATTGGGCATTTATTGCATTTAGATGTATTTTTTAAATTACTTCTTAGATACCTATGTTATTATTAGAATCACACTTTTAAACCCAGAAAAACCACAAACCATTTGTTACAACACATCAATACTTTGAATTAGTCAACTAATATTTATATCGAAATACGAACTTCTTCAAAAACTTCCTACACCTCAGGTTGGTTAAACTGAGAAAATCTTTTTAGTAGTATTTTTCAAAGAGTTTTTCTAGTTTTCTGTGCAGTGTATGAAGGTAGGTATTAAGGAGGGTAGATGGAATTCAATAAACAGTTTGGCGGCGCTCCAACGCTGGGCTACTGAATATATTTTAAAGCGACTTAATTTTACTTCGGAGACTGAAGACAGTTTTGGCTGAGACCAATTTAGGAGTAAAGAAATTGGTCCAGACACTTTTCTATTAGTTGGTGTTTTAATTAGGATGTTTACAAGATTTTGTAGGTAAGGTTGTCTTGTTAAAGATTACAAAAAGACCGATTAGTCTCTTCTAAACTACGTAATTATAATTACTGAAATTGTGCGAAGAACTTTCGCGTGTAATCATTGGGTCTATAATTCGTTAACATGAAATTACCATAAGCTGCAGTTCCGTTCGTCATGTAAATTGTATTACCATAGTGGTATGTAAAAGTAAAATTGACAATGATTATCTCTACAAGTTAATAAAATTACTTACAAACATATAATACTTAAAATCGAATAAATCCCAAACCTTTTTAGAATGGTTTTGTACCTTAATAATTTTATTAAACTGATGACACCCTTAGCGAGATCGCTTCTAAAGAAACAAACGTTTCCTGGCTCGAGTTAATGGCGCCCAACGTGGGACACAATAACATACTTACGAAATCAACCTTACGTAAGGTCCGGTATGCAAACATTCATTGTTCAACTGTGTTAAATTGCGAAATTATAAACAAACAGCCCTTGTTTGAAATAATTATAATTTGAAAGACAAAATGCTTTTACATGTAATAAATAATCATTGTTATATTTTAACTAGCTATTCTCGCGCGATTTCACCCGCTGCTCGGCTCCATTTGATTGTAGCGTGATTTCTATAGCCTCCATCTATTAGTGAAAGAATTTTGAAGATCCGACCAGCGGTTCCAAAGATTACCCATATACATAGTGGAGTTTGCATTTAATCTACTTCACTATTTCTATACACAAACAAATAAACAAATTGTAAAATGCAAAAATAAGTTAATCAACAAAGTAATTTCATAAACCTGCGTTAATACTGAAGCTTATAAGTATGTCCCACTTTGGGCGCCATTAGACAATAGTGGCGCCCAACATGGGTCACATTGTAACATCAAAGAAAACACTCGACTTTAATGATAGCATGAACAACAACAGTAAACAGTACACACGTGACATCAATAGCCACTCTTATCAAGAATAATGGTAACTAAACTCGTTAAAAACATTGTCCTTTTTGCTATTGAACCATTTACGTGGTGAGTAGAGTGTAGGCGCACTTTTATATTTACCACGATATAATTAATAGTATAACTTGAGACGTAAATATATGTGTATACAATACAAACTTTAATTGTGAGATTGTTTAAATCGCGAATAGTCAGTACTCATGATATCTATACTAATGTTATAAAGCTGTAGAGTTCGTTTGTTTGCGGAACGCACTAATCTCTAACAAATTCAATCGCGCTAATATACAGAACTACGTGTATGGATGGAACAATTATTTTTGAGGATTTTTTATGGAATAGATCTAGAAGAGAGGTCGTAGAATAGGTCGGCAAACGAGCAGACAGATTACCTGATGGTAAGTAATCAGCGCCGCTCATGGACACCCGCAACGGAGGAGTTACGAGTGCGTTGCCGACCTTTTAGGGATTAGGGTTTTGGAGATTTAGAGATTGGAGGGATCGGGGGAGGGGAAGGATTGGGCCTCTGGTAACCTCACTCACACGGCGAAACACAACGCTGTGGTTGTTTCACGTCGGTATTCTAGGAGGCCTTGGTATCACTCCGGTCGAGCTGATCCATTCGTGCCGAAGCTTGGCTCTCCCACACTTAAAGTGTCCACTAGTTCATTTGTTGTGAAAGGTATAAAACGTACGCAACGAGAAGCCAAGCAGCCGGTGAAACCCCTCGAGAGTAGCTAGTATGAACACTATACACGTAGGCGTGGAAGTTCTTGAATAAGGTTACTCAAGGCCGAAATCTTACCCTGACCCTCTACCCTATCCTCGATTCCCCCAATTCCTAAAACTCTAACCCAGAAGACCAGCAACACATTAGCAAATCCTTTAGTGTTCTAGATGTCCATGGGCGACGCTGATCACTTACCACTAGATTATCCATGTTGGGCCGAAAGGTCCCAAAGGTTGTGGTAGCCCGGAGGTTAAGGCGTTAAGTCGCCAGCATCTCATGCATAAGGGAGTGCGTTCGAAACCTGGCAAATACTAATATGCCTTTTTTCGAGTTATATGTACTTTCTATGGTTATTTAGACACCACAGACATACGGTGAAGGTAAACATCGTGAGGAAAACTAGACTTATAATTTCTAATTACAAGTTTGAAATGGCCAACCCGCATTGAGCAAGCGTGGTGATTAATTCTCAAACCTTCTTCGTGTGAGAAGAAGCCTTTCTTCAGTGGGTACTTATAGGCTGATGATGATGAGATTATCCATATCCTAGTTTGCCACCCTCCCATACAAACAATTAATAATGAAATTCAAATAATGTTCCTCTACCTTCTGAATGCGTTGAATTGAATCTGGTGTTATGATTCAATTCCAAGGAAATCGTGTTGGAGAGGGCATTTAATACAATAGGACCAAATGGAGCCCAAGAAACATAATTAAGGGGACGGGTCAGAGTTTATTGAGTTACCATAAGCCGTGCGAGGAACCGACTAAAACGGTTTCATGTGTCATATAAAATTTGAAAAGGTTTTATTGTTACACTTTTATGTATATTAATATACTAATATGTAAGTGTGTTAGAAATGTTGTTACTGAAAACAAACTTATACTACTTATTGAACCTAATTAGTAAACTATAATATATTATTTTTATTCATTGGACTTTGAGACTTTTTAGAGGGACATGATCACACTTTCGGAAGAATTATCATGATAAAATGCATTTAAAAACGTGTAAGTTTACAAAGACGTGACACCCAGATGCGTTAACACAATTTGTTGATAATACAATAATATGTTCAGTGCAGGATTCGAATCATTGTGTTTAAATTCCACAATACATGACTATGCAGAATGGCTAAAACTGACATTTATTACGCTTCATAATGAGCAGCACTCAAACCATTAGCTTACGCAGCGTTTTAAGATCAACCAATAAAACAGGTTCATGTCAAGGCAAATTGCTACAAACACACTATATGATACAAAACTTTGACTTATTTATATTTACATATGTACAGTTTATTTATTGTAAGTTGAAGTAATTGTGTGTGTGTTATTTGGAAATCAAAAATTTGAAAAAAATGGCACACTGATCCAGTTTGCACAGAAAGTATTTTGATAATTTTAGTCAGTAAGATTTCTGTCACTCGCGCAATGGAAACAGCAATTATAATACTTAGGTGTACGCTTTTTATCGTAGACTAACATATTTAAAAATATGTTTCTGTTTGATAGCCTTATAGTAAAAGGCCCAGCATAGGAAACCGTTTAAGAGAAGCTTTTTGAAAATAAGGAAGTGGCCAACCTTGTGCATTTTGTCCTGTGCAACAAACATACGAATCTCATACACATCACCTAGACCCAATTCCGACAAAACAATTCCTCGATTAAACAGAGCAGGACTCAAGCAGCTCTATAGACGTTGACTGATTCATTGAAAAATTAATAACCATAAGCCAGCCTGTAACTGTCTCTATATATCAATCTGTATTTTGTAACCTTCAAACCAAATACCTTGGCTGACTGCACATATTTAAAATTGCCTTGATACCTTGTTACAACATATTTTGCGTTGCGCGACAGACTTAAAGTTTCTAAAAAATAAACTAGATGGCGTTATGGTGCTTCACATGAGTTTTTTATCTGTACAATGCATACACTTTTACCGCTTACCTTAGATAGTGCATGCTGTATTATATGAATTTTAGGACCCTATTTCTCCAGTGACCAGACTTCTCCAAGTTGTACACTCTTTTTAGTGCCTTTAAGCCTAAAGTAATTGTTTTCTGCATGAAATTTACCGACAGAAGTAGTTTCGCTTTTTCTTCTTCTTAAATAATATTTTCTGATTTATTTCATTGCGTTTCATTTAGAAGTTTATATGGTTGTATCTACTTTAGATCCTGGCTTACAGGAGTTGCAGCGATTTTGGGGGCTAGTCCCGATAAAAGAATACTATACTCCATAGTTTAGTAAATTGTAATTAATGTTTAGTACAGCTTCTGGATACATATTGTTGTCCCATTTTCACTAAGGTTACATTTATCCAGCTCTATGCAAACAGTTCTTGGCTAATTGCAATTATTTATGACTGTCCCAGTTTCGCTTTTAATTAGTTTATTGAATTAAGGGGATGTTGCATATCTGTTAACTGTAATAAGTTTACTTGTATTTATGCTTCCTCGTTTTCTTAGTTATTCACAGTAATTAATTGGCTATTCGCTACAAACTCACGCAATATTTGGAAACTATTATAAAATAATCCACGACACACAATAACTAATTCAAGAGAGGGCGCTGTATTCGAGTGAGACTTTACTATTATTTTTTTATTTATTAATAACTAGCGACCCGCCACTACTTCGCATGGGTACATTGCTGAAACTAAATTTCTCCAATACTTAACAGATGTTGTCATACACCAAAACAATGATATTATAAGTAAAAGGTACATAGGTTATAAGCGCTCAGCGAGTGATACATTAAAATGAGGCTAACTAGCCTTACTTTTTCATATTTGTCTCTTTTTCACTTGCGATTATTGAATCATGCCATCCCACTTTAACGTGTATCATACGATTTATTAATGAGTGCGTAAGTGTGCCGTTTTTGAAAATCGAATGTTGTTTATCTATACTATTTTACTTATAATATCATTGCATCAAAACCATTCTCTTCCGTTATACTCTACCAATTAAAATACGCATCAAAATCCGTTGCGTAGTTTTAAAGATTTAAAAATACATAGAGATACCAACTTTTTTTATGCTATGTAGTGAATATTAAATGGCCGCATTAATACATTACAAATATTAAGAAAGAACGCACGAACGCATGAAGAGAACAACAACAATAAAAACACATTATATGTACATACAGAATGTAGATATTGCATGTAGCGTATAATATAAGGAGGAAAATATTAGATCATAATATCCCCTTTCAGAGTACGACTTATGACAAATACGAAGCATTACTTAACAACCTGTCAATACCCATTCCTACAGGAATATAAGAAAATAATTCCTACACAAATGAAATAGAACCTTTGTTCAGAAAAATAAGGTACAATTTCCGTTGAGTATTAAAATATGAGCGTATAATATGAGGGTACTTGTACACCGGAGTATGGACTTACGAGTCTTGCAAATAGTTATTGGATTTGTCAAGTAGTCGGCCTATATTTTTTTTTTCATTTCATTTTTGTATTTCATTGTGAACGGTCGTGCGTCGCGGTACTCACGGTTTTATATTTTTAAGCCTCGCTCATATTCGAGTTTTTAGCAGTGGTTGGAATATTAAAAATGTTTTTTTAACCGTTGTATTTTGTTTGACAAAGCTGCTTAGTTTCATTTCGTTTGTGAGTTAACGTGTTGGGTGTTGTTTTAGTGAGTGTACCATTTAGTTTGTGTTTTCATTTTTGTTTGGACGCGTTTTCTGTTTAAGTTTGCAGCGTATTATTTATTTGACAAGAGAAAAACTACATCTTTTTTAATTTATTTATAACTACTGTGTTAGTTTTTTCATATGTTTTTACATTAACAAATATCACAATCTGAAAAATATGTTGGGTTTAGAATAATTTATAAAAATAATTACTAATTAGAATAATTTACATTTTAAATCATCGTCATCTTATCAACTATGGCACGGCTTCCCTAATGAATACTAATGATTCCCATATGGACCAGTCTCATCATCAGCCTTTTAGTGCCCACTGTTGAGCAAAGGCCTCTTCTCAGACGGAGAAGGTTAGAGCATTAATCACCACGCTCACTCAATGCGGGTTGGCGATTCCAAACTTATAATTAGAAATTATAATTATGGACCAGTCTCCCTCACTTCAAATAAATAAAATACGTTTATAGAAAAATCTCTCACCTGATGAGCAGCGTAGCAAAGAGAACAGCTAACAGCGGCAGCAGCGTCCCGAAGCAGGCCAGGAAGAGGGTCTGCACGTCCGAGTAGCCTGAGAACACAGACAAAACTGCGACAGTTCACATGACGGGATAGCTTACTGTAATACATAGGTTGCTTGTTTTTGTTTAAGTGGTCCCATTTTATGATTTTCTCCCATGTCGTTGGTGCATTTCCAAATATACAATTTCACATACACATCATACCCAGGCCCGAAATAATAATTTGTAAATTACACAAAGTGAGTTTTCCGTGCGGGAATCAAACCCGTTTCACATTGCTAGGCATCCAGTTGCCCAGTCACCGTGCAGTTTGTATGTTAAAATGCAACTTTTAGATATACTTGCTCTTACCCGCGGCGCCGTACCCTACTCTACCTACCCTACTCGACTTACCCTACTCTATCTACCCTACTCTACCTACCCTACTCGACCTACCCTACTCTACCTTCCCTACTCTACCTACCCTACTCTATCTTTCCTACTCTACCTACCCTACTCTACCTAACCTACACTACCTACTCTCTCTTATCCTATGTCCTTCTCCCAGTTCTTAGCTACCTCCCTACGAATTTTCAGCTAAATCGGTTTAGCCGTTCTTGAGTTATAAGTGGAGTAACTAAAACTACTTTCTTTTCTATATGTATATAGATTTATTCTGAAATAATAAAATGTAAAATATTTTTAAATATGTCGATAGTTTAAACTTTAATAATAATTATTTCAGCTTTCATACCATTTAATAAAAACGTAACGTTATTTTGAATTACGTGATTTATGTAATAAATAGTAAAAAAAATGATATTTTAATAAAAAAAAAAATTGGATTCTAAAATTTTAAAGTAACTAAATAATAGATATTTGAAATGTTATAAACTATTTTCGTTTGGACCACTCTATCAATCCTAATTGGCATATTTTGAACGCATGTAATACACACAAGTACAAGTATATTTTGACTAAAAGCTACATTTTCACATCAATGGATTTCAGTAAAGTTATTTGAGAGCTGAATTTCTGATTAATACATACAGTTACTGCTCATAATGAATAGTATTGATCATTGCAAAGCAAATATATATTTTTGGAACAATGGTTCAATGATATTACATAAAAAATGGCGTGACTAATTAAAAATAATCCAATCAATAGGTACAAAAATAGATAATATGGAAGAGAAAATAAAGAAAAAAGGAATTAATTTGTATGAATTATGTCTCACATAAGCTTATCAAACAGCTTGCCCTAACTTGTCTTATGGAGGTTTCTATTTCTATTTTCTATTTTAGAAAAAAATTGTACCTCTCTAGGATTTTCTCCTGTATCACCCAGAGCCGTAACAACAATATGTGGATCACACAAAGAGCTGTTCCGTGCGGGAATCGAACCCGAGACACGTATCGTAGCAAACATATTAAAAAGGTTATAAATTTCCCGCTCTTGTTTACAAGAGGTCCCCTTCAAAAGGAGCCAAGCTTTTTTCACACAAAAACGGCTGGTTTTAGTGAGGTATCTTTAGGAAGAATCTTTTTATAGTCTTACACCGGAGCCTTTTACCTTTGTAGGTACTTAGAATATTTTTAACAAATCATTGATATCTCTGTGTACCAGCACTGCAGCAGTAACATTGTTTCCACATTATCCTTATTTCGAAATTGTCTTTAAATAAAAATTCTTACAAGTAAGACAAGTAAATTTCAATGAAGACTTACAAAAGAAACATAATATCCTTCAGGTGCGCGATGTATTTTAATAAACTTACACACAAATTGTTTCAAAACTTAGAAACGGAACACACAGAAGAGAAACTCTAATGGGGGTAATAAAAAGTTTTGCGGGTAAAAAGTTAGGAAATAATGTTCGAGCTAATATAGGAAATTACTTGAGAAACGAGGGTAGATCGTATATTTTCACTAACATCTCAAACTATGTCAATTAGCCATTAAAAGTTTGACTGCACACCTATGCAGACGTATCTTAACCTGCCAGTATCATATTTATTTTTTATTTTTGTTAGAACATATGAGTCATATGCGGACCGTTAGACGTTAAAAGACTGGCAGCTAGTCGTCTGCAGTACCATTGTCTGATGAGCTTTCCATCTACACCAATTCTGAAACTCCTCAATCACAAACTCCGTAGGACTCATGTCATGCTGCTGCTGTTCGAGCAGAAAGATACTATGGCCTAACAGAAAACCAGAGTAAAACATGCCTAATTGGTGGAGAATTGGGCATATTTTACACTGGTTTCCTGTTTTTCTCCCACCCCCAAAAGCGGGTAATACATTTGTAGCTCCTCCTCTACTCGTTGTCCACATATCCTATAAAAGATAAGCTTGAAATCTATGACTTTATTCAATAATTAACTTATTATGTACTCAGTAAACGAAATTAAAATCTCCATTAAAAATATTTTTGATGCTTTGTATTTTTATGAAACTGTGTATGAGGAAGTAATTTATTTATTCGCTAAAAGGTTTTTATACAGCGAAGCGGAGTTGCAGTGCATCTGAGCGAACCAACAGATATGGGTACATAGACTTTTACTGTATAATTTGTGTTAAAAGCGCTTTTGCTAAACTCAGCCGTGTTGAAATACTATGCAGTGTTGAAATATAAAAATTTCAACAATCGTTTTTCAAATATTTTTAATGAATTTTTCGGTACCACTACGGGCGCCAATAGTGAATATGGCGCCATGTGGGACTACGTCAAAACAACCAAATAACACTAAAATACATTTACAGAGTCGTTTTTTAGTTAGAAACGTTAGTTATGAGTAATACTAAAAATACTACATTGAATATATTCGTGTTGTAGAGGTAAATAAATATATGCATTATTACTATATTTTTATAGAAAATAAAAGCATTTAAAGTCTTATTCAGTACTTGCCCAAAGTCCACTGTTAAAGAGGTACATGCTTCAAATAAGTCAATTTCCGATGTTCTTTGAAGCAAACATTCTAAACCTGGGCAGTCTTCCAATTGGCACCCAACGTGGGTCCAGTCTATCTTGCCGCTGTTGAAAATCTCTACGCTATTCCGTTACAAGCATCGATTTTACGTGACCCAACTACCAATTAATCGGTTGAGGAATTAGCCAATAATAAGCCGATAGGAAATTGTATTACAGATTCTTTTTTCTGCCTCAGAAATTATTCGATTGACTTTTATTGCTTATGTCTGAATATCTTATGTAGTTTTATTGGTTCTTTATGGTAGTGAATTGTTTTTTTTTTCGCCTTTATTGGGCATGGTCTGTTTCGAGAAATTGTCAAAGATTCCAACAATTTTCGATCGTTAAGAACTGGGAAAAGAACGTCGTAAATTTTAGAAAGTGTAACTCTATTTCTAACCCTAGGTACTCAGGGTGGAAAAAGAATTACGAACAAGATTTTCCTCTCAAAAAAAAAATACCAGATATATTTAATTCTGAGTAAGCCTAATTCTAAAGCCCGTAGAAATATGTTAATTGAAATTCACTACAAATAAGATTTGAAAAACTTTTACAATCAAAACACCCCAAATATAGCATATATTTGGGGTGTTTTGATTGAATCTAATAAGAGACAGCAAAATAATAAATGGCCTAACATTCTGAGGATGAACAGAAAACGGACTGAAACTGCAACAATAGACGTCTAATTACCAAAACCAAACAGATTTAATTGACACAAACAAAGCAGACAGCTTGTGAATATCAAACCCGATGGACAAACGAACGATCATTTGTTCTCTCTATTTATTTAATTTATTATTCCTGAACAATACAAACACTCATCCATTATTGTCGAATCGCTTCATGAATGTGAATGGTCCAAGTGATTTTGATCCTTAGTTTTTAAGGAATAGGAATACGATTCTGTTGAAAGTTTCTATGTTACTTGTAATCTAAATGAGAGTACAATTAATAAATGTATCTCTATATAATAAAGAATGGAAACATTAAGCGCTCATTTCACCACCTTCAGATAAGTTCCCGATAAACTATTTTGCTGGCTTCTCTGCGACGTGTTTCCAATTCTATTTCAAAATGATACAACTCTTTGTGTGATTCACAATTTGTCGTGGCAGATCTGGATGTGAAGTGTTAGTGATTTTCAGTTTTTTGTTACACCCATGACTCACGAGAAAAGGTTAGTTGTAGGGCAACGAAATTAAAAAAAAAAAAAAACACATACATATGTAGTGCATACAAAATACATTCTATAATCAACTATCTGGCACATACTTTTGCGAAACAGATCCAAATCATAAAATTATTTCTCTCGCCCACGATTAAAGTAAAGTAAAGTAAAAGTCTGACGCCCAGAGATTGAGTGTCAGACTTTTACTGACTAAAAAGTATCCCGTTTCTTCTCCTGCTTTAGTCCGAGGCTACGGCACCTGGTTGCCCCTCAACCCCGGCTGAACACCACCCCTGTTGGAGCTTAACTGTGGTCTGTTGGCTCATTGAGGCACGCGGAATGCTACGCGCCGTACGCTCGGGTCTTGTTCTACTCGAGCGGCGAGCTACTCTTGCCCAGAGACAAGAGGCACAGACCCGCGCTTACGGAGGCCGGAGATCGTCACGCCCCACGAGTAACCTACTACGACTGGAGTGTGAAGAGGTAGTTTCTCTCACGCCCTCTGCCTCCTTGTTTGCAAATCCCTTAGTATACATTGGGATCTAGACTACAGGTAGAATCTAAACACATTTCCCCTTAGTTGTAAACTTCAAAAAGAAATTTAAAATAATAAATAACTTTTCGGAAACACTCTTTGAAATAAATCAATTTCCAAACACGTTCTCGACCCATTTATTTCTTTATCCTCGCCCTCCGTTTTTAACACGCACCATACGGCTGCCGTGGACCCTCGGGGGCTGAATACAAATTCGCGTTGAGCAACAAGCCTACTCCATAAATTTTCAAAAAGGCTCGCTAATTTGTCAAAAAAGCTGTACAATACAAAGTGAGATGTAGGAAGCGTAACGAGTTGAACAATACTGCCTACCCTCGCTCCGTTACGGTGTAATATATTCTGAATCCCAAATTGAAAAAAAGGAAATCTTTTGGTTTGAGAATTGGAAAATAAGATGTCAAACAAGAAGTTCTACACTACTTAAAGTTTTAATAAATCTGGAGAGTTTTAAGACCATAATGTTGAGCAGAGTTAAAAAAAGGTCTTAGCTCTTTAATTGACTGTACACTTTGATCTGTCCCAAAGGGCAAAAAAAAGGTGTAGCGCGTGAGAGAATACGACGATCTCTGGCCATGGTAAGCGCGAATCTGCGGTCGGTAAGCCAGGGAATAAGAATCGGATACTTCTTGCTTCACCCAGGGTGGGAGAAGGCATCAGATGATTTTCCCCGTCAAAAAAGTCCTAAGATTGCTTAAATAACACCTAAAGTTCTCCTAATAGAAGTTAATATTATTTACTCTCATTCTTTGACAGTTTTCATACATTCAAACTTGAACCTTAATGTACCAAGTATAGCCTATAAAAACCACAATTTCAAATATAAAAAAAATATTGATACTATCGATAATTGGACGCAAAATCTAGTTTCGAAAGTCACACTTTAACACTCGACAAATGAGGCAGTCAGTCGAATGGAGCCCTCGAACAAAATTAAGGGTAAAAGAAAAAAAAACGGTTCCCAAACCATTTGGTACTTAATTTTTCTGCGATAAAATGAACCCTTGTTTGAATAGGAAGTGATAAAATACGCTTCTCAACTTTTGATTAAAGAAAAGACGATATCCACTCATTTTAATGGTATCAAAACCCTCATAAACCATTCCTTAGATTTTTTTCAAAAAAAAACGGAACGTTCAAAATTCGTTACACTTAAACAAAACAGAATTAAGTGAACAAAAGTTGATACTATTGAGAATTTTAGAATCAAATAACTTGATTTCTAAATTCGAAACACTAATAAAATCAATCTTGAGAATAAAGTCGTTCCATACAAATAACCTCTATTTATTCGTGCCAACTGATAAACGAAAACTAAGCACGTATTTATATACGTGCTTAGTTTTCGTTTTCTAGCTATCTTCTTAGACAATATCACAGGCGCACACTAGCAAGAAAACCACCCTAGTCCTATGATCCGGTTCAATGACTTCATTCGAAGCCTCCTTAATTATTAATTTACCGTCTAGGGAACCAGGTAGCCTCAAAGATAACCATGCATAATACATAGCACGTCACCTTTATTACGAGAGCAGTTAAGCTGATTTTAATTCGAAACTTTCCCTAGTGTCCATCTACAATGGAAGCGCTTAACGTATATTTTATTCATTTTTCACAAATGGACGAATGAAAGTTTTGTATTTATATGATAGGATTGAGATTGAAATTGTCTAAAATACTGAGTGAGTTTCGATTAATGTTTTAAAACATGTCATAATGCCACTTTTCATTAATGTGTAAGCAGAGATCCCCATTGTTAATATGTAATAGAAAGCCATTTTTTTCTTCTTTCTAAGGCAAGTTCTATTTTCAACTAATATTACAAAGTCCTAACCAACAAAAATCGCTACATATCTGAATACTCACTCGTATCAGGAGCCAGATCGTTGTCCACTTCATGTCCAGTGATGTTCATTATCAGCGCACTCCTGTTCTCCTTCGATGGCTTAGCCACCTCTACCAGCTCCACATAATCCACCTTTTTCAGCACATCACTACTGTTCCTGTCCCTTTCTATCTCACTAACACTTCTATTTAAAAAGTCACTCTCATTTATTTTTGCTGCTATCAAAAATTCAAATTTTGGCATGTCTTCCGCGAACTCGGATTCTGGCCTAAATAGTATGTCAGTAATTGTATCTTCTCTGTCTGTTTCTGAATTTATTATATCGTCTAGAAGACTACTTGATATGTTCATTTGTTTTTCGACATTACCTCCTTCTCCGTTTGGTATATCCATGGTCTTTGTCTGGTCTCTCATCACTTTTTTTGATAGGTCTTCGTCTCTGCCTTGCTCGGCATTCATAAGACCTTCAAGTTCAGATTTGGATGTTCTGTCCGTTTCTCTAATTTCTTCATCTGTCTCTTCAGCTACGATGAGTGTATCAGAGTTAGGATCGATGGGTAAATTAAAAGTGTTATTGTTACCGAATTTTATGACAATATCTGTGTTGTTCATGTCGGAGTATGGTCGGGCGTGGACTATGTCTGCTGTCAGCAAAGCGTTTAGAAGGAAGAACATGAGTTTTAATTTAACGTTAGTCATTTTTTCTTTGATTATGGGTTCATTATTATTATTAAGCGTCAGTTCATTGTTGATGGGGCTTCAGTGGCTGCTAGTGGACATCTGCGAACAAAAACAGTGCACTGTTAAACTATAAAGCATCTTAATTAATATCTGATTGTGATAATGGCTGACTAATTAAATTTTCACGCGGACGTTCTGTGATGGGACGCATTGATGAAATATTATTGTTGTTGGCCATTCAAAAGTTGATTGTATTGCATTGAATTTAAAATCGATTTTAATTCAGTTTCTCTTCGTTTGCAAAATATACAAATACTAAAAGTGCTAATTATTCACATTTGGAATTAATTGTAACTATATTGCATATGTAGTCTAATTCAAATTTTAATATGTATTCTAATTATAATCTGTAATATCATTGACGAATAAGTGTTTGATTAATAATTTAATACCAAAATGTTGTTGTGTATTTTATTCTGAACAAAATAATATTTCTACACCGACAACGGCATTGCATGTGTAACTGTTTTTATTATTAAAAAACTCGTTGTATACCATTTGCTCAGAAATAAATGAATAATCTATTCAACTACTATGGGAGAGCCATGCTTCGGCACGAATGGCACGAATGGGTCAGCTCGACCACAGTGATACCACGGCCTCACAGAAAATCAGCGTTCTGTTTCACCTTGTGGTGAAGTTGTGCTGCCCCAATCCTTAAATATCTTAAACCCTAAAAGGCCGGCCATATACTCGTAACTCCCTTATTATTACGGGTGTCCATGGACGGCGCTGATTGCTTATCATCAGGTAATTCGTCTGCTCGTTTGCCTAGATATCTGTATAGGTATACAGATATCTCGCAAACTCATTATGAAATTAGGGCCAAAGATGAGGAATTCCGGAGAATTTGCCCAAACAAAACATCATACTTTGTAATCACGGCAATAACTTAATATAATATAACAATATATGTTCGCAGTAACAGTAACCGGTTAACTGCACAATGTGATCGTTACAGGCGAGCCGTTCAGTTAACCCTGCTATTTGACCCACTTCTGTACAATGTAACGACGCATTTAACTAGCTCGCGTTAGTTGCGGCTGGGAACCGAAGCTGTGACCCTGATGCGGATAGATAGACTACATATTTAGACTAGACGTTTTGTAAATGTGTGGTTAGTAAAAATTTGTTAGTCATACTTATATGTTTTATGAGCCTATAGTCAGCCTACCCCGGGTTAATTATAAATTTTGTGTTCGGGAACCTACTGTGGAAAACTTTCATAAACCTACAATACCTAATAATACTTTACACTATCTAACAACAGAATCCTTGACCTTGAATGGAAAAATAAATACAACTCGAATAACAAAACGAAGTTAGTCGCTTTTTCTGTCCCTAAGTCCATATGTGTGATTATATCTTTAAAACTACGTAACGGATTTTGATGCGGTTTGTTCGTGGTTAAAGAAAGGTTTATATGTGTAATGGCATTCATTAAATAGTGGGAAAAAATAATATCAGCATTGCAAGCCTTGCGTAGCCGGGGCGGGTATCTAATAAAATAAAATATGTTTTCTTTTACTGCAACGTAACAAATTACTACGCATGGTCATCCTGTTAAAAGCAAATGTTTTGCCAACTTCCAGCCACCGTGCCAACCGTACAGTCACAATCAGTGCAGTCAAATTATACAAACACTGAATTTTGTCAGCATCTTTGCCCAGAATAGCATGGTAGAAATATATAACTATATAGTACTTCAGATTTAAACCTATCGCTCTGCCAAGTTCCATTCGAATCCGTTCAGTTGTTTTTACGTGAATCAAACAAATCTATCCATACATATGTACACCTATCCATACTTACAAACTTTCGATTTTACAATATTAGTAGGATTTCACAGTACACACGAATTATTGGCCTTCTGTCAAAGCAAACAAGTCTCGTAAAAACCAAAACTATAATAAAGAACCGATGTGTGTGTGTGCACAATTACTGTGCTCTGTAGCCGGGCCCCATAACGTTTGAATTAAGAATGACTCGCCGGCAATTTGTCAAAGTCCCCGAGTGACGAGTGACGCGTGACGGCTCATTCAATAGAATGACACGTAGTTTGCAACAACGTGCTTTTTAACACGTTTTATATCTTCAGGGTAAATGTTGTGGTGGCCTAGAGGTTAAGGCGCCCACTTCTCATGCGTAATGGTGCGGGTTCGAAAGCTGGCAACTACCAATGCGATATTTTCCGAGTTCTATGTACTGTCTATGATTATTTAGACATTACTGACAAACGGTGAAAGAAAACATCTTGAGGAAACCTGGACTTAAAAGTTTTTTTTTATATAATAGGTCGGCAAACGAGCAGACGATTTACCCGATGGTAAGCAATCAGCGCCGCCCATGGATACCCATGGGTGCGTTGCCGACCTTTAGGGAATAAGGATTTGTTAAGGGCCTCCGGTAACCTCACTCACACGGCGAAACACAACGCTGTAATTGTTTCACGCCGGTTTTCTGTGAGGCCGTGCTATCACTCCGGTCGAGCCGACCCATTCGTGCCGAAGCATGGCTCTCCCACACTCTCCCACACTGCCTTGAGCAAACTGGTGATTAATGCTTAAACCTTCTCCTTGTGGGAAGAGGCATTTGCTCAGCAGTAGGCACTTACAGGATGATCATGTGTGATGACTATCTTTAGGTTGTGGTAATAAAAACGTTTTTGGAGTTAGCAGATAATATAATATAATTTGTCCACCAGTCTATCCAGTAACCATGGTCTACACATATTTTTTTGTATGCCGAAAGCAGAATGTACATGGTTTCTTGTACTCCTATTAACATTTTTGTAGTACATACATTCTATACGTAAAATAAAATTCTTATCCTTATTTTTATTCTAGAATTTTTAATTTCACTTTCATCAAAGTGTGGGAGAGCCGTGCGTCGGCACCATTGGGTCGGCTCGACCGGAGTGATACCACGGCCTCACAGAAAACCGGCGTGAAACAACCACAGCGTTGTGTTTCGCCGTGTGAGTGAGGTTACCGGAGGCCCAATCCTTCCCCTCCCCCAATCCATCCTCGATCCCTAAATCTCCAAATCCCTAATCCCTAAAAGGTCGGAAACGCACTCGTAACTCCACCGTTGCGGGTGTCCATGGGCGGCGCTGATTGCTTACCATAAGGTAATCCGTCTGCTCGTTTGCCGACCTATCACATAAAGAAAAAATCAGACACCAATCATCCACTGTCGAGTGTAGGCAAACCAATAACTTCCAGTTCGACCAGTCGGAAAGCGACCAACGTCTAGCCGCCTTCTGCAACTTTTATCCATTTACTACGATTTATAGCTAAAGATATATAAGGTATTTTGTTGTATAAGATGATGTTGAGCTCGATCCCTATATTAAAAGTAATTGTATACCTACACATTTAGTATGATAAGGTCTGTATTACGCAAACAAAAACGCGGCCTTCGTTCGCAAAACGTTTAAATATTTCCTAACTTTAAGAGAAGCAAATCTGAAATACCTATTCGCAAACGTAACTTCTGGTATTAAGCAATTGTCACCACCCATGGACACTCACAACTCCAGTTGCAATTGCGTTCACAGCCTTGCAACTACGTATAAAATCGTAAGTCGCGTTCACACGGCAATACATAACGCAAGCTTGGGTTAACGTCACTTTCCTGCGAGGCCAAGGTATCACTCCAGTCGAACATGGCTCTCCCATACCCATTGGTATTTTAACCTTTCAATCGTATATCAATTAGAGACAAAATAAAAAGACAATTAATGCGCGAATGCCGGCGTTCGCTTGGCTTATTATGAAATTAATCGAACTATAAAACTGATACTACTGAACACGACCTCCATAATTTTATTCACCATATACCACAATACCTTTGACATTTAAGGTGACGTCACACAAGGGTCGTTCCAAAACAACGCCTGAGAAAATGTGGGTCTTTAAAACCACTGCGGCGAGAAAGGGTTACACCTCAACGGCCCAAAATAACCACAAACCCTTCAAATGGTTCGTTATTTACACAAAATCTTTTTCACACAATTTAGATTATTTTTCAAGAGGCACTGACAAAATGAAGACATGTTTTTTTGGTTGTATTATTAAATATGTATATTCTTTGGAAATGGTGTTTTTGTGTTACGCTGACAAACGAGCACACAGATTACCTGATGGTAAGCAATCGGTGCTGTCCATGGACACCAAAGGAGTTGCACGTACGACGCCAGCATTATGGGGAATTCAAGTATTGGGAGGGAAGGGGAGAGAGGAATAATTGGAAAAAAAAAATCATTTATTCCAATTAGACCTTTACAGGCACTTTTGAACGTCAAACAAAATTTTGAATATAATATAGTGTCAGTCTGTCGGTCAGTCCTCTTAGTGAAGCTATTTGCTCGTTCCAAAGTGAAGATTCCGATGGAGAAGAACGAGCAAGAAACTCCATGGTTACTCTTTTTAAATCAGTTTCACATACAGATTCCTTTTACAAACAGTTGGTTCAATTATGTGAGAACAGTGTAACACTAATATTTATTCAAATATAAAAATAAAGTAACCTTAAGGACAATAAACAGTACGGAGCTGACCAGTCCCAACTGACGGCGCCCGTTCACGAGCATGACACATATAGTACACCAGCATCGCCCAACTCAAGCATATTATAGGGAATTAAGCGATCCAGCGCCCATGCCACCGCCAGTGTGGACAACTCCAAGCTGTTATAAGGACTGACATTCTGCTAGTCTAACCAATTACAATAGGTTACAGGGCACTCACATTTACAAATTTATCAAGTTATAGTGGAAATGTATTTAAGTGCCACAGCATCAAAACCTACAAACTCTAAATTCCATACTAAATTCTCATTTTTTATCATCTTTCGGCTTCCGTCTCAACTTATTCTTTAAATAATTATAAGAAAAGAGTCTGTTTTTTTTATCATATACTACTTTATTTTATTAAAGATTAGTAAACGTAATGAAAATATCCTTATGCTTACAACTAGCCAAGAATATTTAATTTATTCACTCAAAGTCTC